CCGAATTTTCCTAATCAACTATAATAAATAGCATTATTATTTAAGCGATGATCTAATTTAAAATATAATTGTATACTTGTTCGGCGATACTTAATTAAATTTAATAATGTTAATATAATTAAATTAATTTGCCAGGCTTATAAATTAATAAATGGCAATATTAACTAAACACACAAAGGAAAAAAAACATCACACAAGTATTTTACGACGTTATACTTATTTTATTTACTTTATTAATATTGCTTAATTTTTTTTCTTTTTCTATGTTTATAGTGACGAAATGTCTTGTTCTTAATATGCTTTTGGATGTAGCTGCTTTAATTAGTATTTTTTTAATTGTTGAAAACGTTATATAATACAATCATTAAGAACAAGAATACTATGCGTGTCCTAATAACCTAAGGAAGCAATTTTAGTGTATTGAGACACAGTCATACTTACTCGAATTGCCTCCGGTAACACTTAGAGACGATTCATGAATGATTTTAAAATGAATGCATTATAAAATAAGTGTATATTTTTTCAAATAAATATGACGTTTTTAAGTGTGATGTTTGACATGAAATTTTATTTATAATAAAATAAAATAGAAGTTAATTTGGGTATAAATAATGTATTATTATAATGAATATGTATGCGAAGATGACAGTGGAAACGATTGACGGTCAATATATTTTAATACCTAATGGCTAATGATTTATATTTAATTTGTTCTCCGCAAACGTTTATCGCATCACCACAAAGATTTGTCATTAGAAGATTAACAAATAAACTTTATATCACTTTATGTGTTGTATTAAACAGGTATATTAAAAAAGCCAGTAAATTATAAATAAGAAAATAAGTTAATTGAAAAACGCCAATTCTTAACTAACAAACGGTTACACTCCAAAAAAAATATATCACAAACAATTAGCGATTATTTTTTTTATATTACTTAACTTCCTTTAATATACATTTATTAACAACCATTTTTTTGAAATTTAATTTTATTTGTTAAAATATGTGATGTAAATCGTTCGAGCATATTTATACAGGTATTATTCAAAGAAATAATATAAAAAAAGTTAATTTAATATGAATAACATTGCCGAGATGAAAATCGCAATAAACGCAATTTTCGAGGGTTCGCGTTTTAAATATATTAATAAAAATGCCATAAACTGTGTATAAAGGCTTTGTAAATTCCAATGGAGAAACTCACAAAAAGTGTTTTTTGGGGAAAATTACAACAACAACAAATAAATTTTAAAATGTTATACAAGTATTTCTTAATGGAACAATGACGAAATGTCTCGTTGTAAAGCGGTCCAACTAATAGTTCTCTTACGCCTGTTAGGTACTGTTAGATACTTTCTGTACTGATTGAGAATATAATTAAGTTATATGAAAAATGTACATCGCCAAATTAACTTGAAATATAATATGATACGACACATTTCATCACTGTATTTTAACTTTGGTTACTATAATAACACAATGAGTCTAGATATCTTATTCAACCGCATTAGATAGGATATACATACAATGAGATCATCATACAAGAGAATACGTTTTAATGACCAAGCTCTACACCGTTGTAGCTTACATTTTAGTTTGGTACAGTTTTTATAGCGAATCATAATTGATAATCTATGAGTGTGTAATAAATAAATGCTTTTGCTGGCGTTTTAAAATAATGTTAATTTGTGTAGGAGTAGAGACATATCAAGCGGCTTAGGTAATGGTAATAAATAAAAAAAAAACACTAAACGGTTTGACTCACAATATTATGATAAACATTTGAGAAATAGTTATTATTATTATTTTTTTTTTTTTTGAGAAAAAAAATAGATATAACAAATTAAATTTGAAGTAAATGTATTTTTACAGTATTGAAAAACACTGTAACAATTGGTATAACATGTTATATTAATATTAAAATATATTTTTGCTCTAACGTTAATGCCAAATTGGTATAGTTCGGTCTTTTTAGCTGTTATGAAATAAGTATTACAACGCTCAGCTGTCCGACACGAATGGTTACAAAACCACTGGAGTAATTTTTATAAAGCATACAAAATAAATTCTTCAATGGAAAATATCAATTTAATTTGAAATGTATCCTTTCGCTTACGTGCTCGCATTACGGAAATAGTGTGAAAACAAATAATGGAACAATGGATTAATGTTCATTAATCCGGTAGTTGCCTTGTTATTGTTCGTGGCAAGACTTTTGACTCTGCGAACCATCACCTGTTTAATTCACAACTCCAAACGTCTATACCCTTACAGCCATTATATAATACAGGGCGATTGGTCAACTAAGACTCGGTCAATAACCTTAAAGATATTTAGCCGGAATTTGATATGTTTTTAAACAACATAACCCCATCCCATGTGGAATAAACCCCTAAGAACATAAGACTATTAAATGGTAACTTATATTTCATCTGGAATTTTTAAAATGTGCTGAAAATTTGAACTGGTCCGATAATTAACCAGTATTTAGCAATTACTTTTAGACGTTAATAACTTTATAAGTAATGATTATTCAAAACTGATTATCGACATTTTCAGCTAGGTACTCATTTTTAATTTTAAAAGTTTATAATATACAATATCCGTGTTTGTTTAATCGATATTTGTATTGTTAATAACCGAGAGAAGGAATTCTCATCGCCTCCGGTGAAATTCGGAAATTCTTTATAAAATACAAAGCTACATAAATTGAATACACTCATAAATATTTGCATAAATATTCGCATAATGTTTGTGTACAAAACTAACTTAATCCACGCTTGTTTAATATTCATTACTCGAACTAATCTTCTGTTATTCGTTAACAAATTAAAATAATCGATGATGAAACCATTTGAATGTAAAGCTGTCAAAAAAAAAAATGAACCACCCACGACGGGCATTGGTCGTCAGTCATCACATAAAATATAAATTTGTTTATTTTTTAATTGATAAATTATCGAGACCGACTAGTCCGGCGGTAAGAAATCGTATAACCTATTTTCACATCTCGCATACAATGTAAGTATTATGTACTTGGAATTACTAGCTGTTAAGAAATAAGGTTGGGTTTACTTTCATTGCGGTTAAGAGGTAGTGACTGATTTGTCGGCGAATACATTTTAAAATGATAAATCGGTCCCGTTTAAACATATGATGCAAAAAACAAAAATGTTACATTAGCATTTTTTTTAAGTAGCTACAACTACTAAGTAGTTTTAACTTATAAAAAATCGATACTCTAGTTTCCGTAACGGTTATCCGGCCAGTTGAGAGGAGTCAGGCTTTTTTGGGGCCACCGACCTCTCTCTTCCTTAAGTTTTAAAAAGTTTTGTACAATATTTAAATTCCCCCAACCCTAGCGTTGGAGTGCTTCTAACTAGATGATTCATTATGTACTCTAGAAATTACTTTTTTATTCCAAAAGTTATTTGCAATCTTTTGAAACTATAGCTGTATTTGTGGCGAAAATCTAGGAAATTGTAGTAAAAAAAAACCACGAATAACTCTATCGATATCCCGCACAAAACTTTGCACTGAAACTAAACTTTAATAATGACTTTCGGTTATTTTCTTTGAACTTGATTTACTTTTAAACTTGTTAAAAACTTGTGGTAAATTGAAAAAAAAAACAGATTCGCGATACGAACTTAAAGTAAACTTTAATTGTATTCCGGGAAGTACGGTCGCCGGTATCGACTTTCGAGAAGTGTGGCCTTGGTGTACGTCAACTATTTTTAGTTGTAATTTACAATTTTAAAGCTGCCAAAAATTTTCCGTTGTACGTTTACAAAGAGCTGTTCAGCTTTCGGAAGGAGCAGACGTTTTATAAAAACGTGTTTTTTTATTGAAAATCGTACTTAAATGGTACTTTTTTGGTCAAAAAATGTAAAAAGTTCACTTCTTCTCATTCAAAATCTAGAAAAACACCCAACAAAATTACATATTTTTTACACATTTAAAATGATGGCACGTCATAATTTCTTTTAAAAATGGTCGAACGAGTTCCAAGTTTTTATAGTTGACAAATCAGAACAACGTTTTCTTTATTTTAAACCCAGTTATCGGCCAGTCAAAGTGTTCAGCATTTATAGTTAATTTAAAAAATTAATAAATTATAGTATGCGTTACCAGTTAAAAATCCTAAGTTCATTGGGGTTTTATATACTATTATAAAATATTATTATTAATATTATTTATTATTCATACTTGTATAGCTATTAACTAGCCCAATTCTGATGTATTTTTCAACAATATGGGTTATATTGTTGGAAAATATCCCTTATGTGAACCATAATACACTTAATCATAACACCCTATGAAGTTATGATTTTACTAACTTTTTTAATCAAGAATAATGTACTAAAAACGTCGACTAATCGATAACTAGTTATGAATAATTATTTGTATAAGTTATAAAGTTTAAAGTTTAGGAGGGGAGGAAGAATGCAACTGAATAATGCGTGCAGATAATTTTAAACTTCAATTTTATTAAAAGTAATTATTCAAAACTGGTTATCGACCGAATTTTCAGAAAATTATTTTTAATACAAATAGTAACGATAATATTGTGTACGTTACAATTTAAATAGTCAAACGGGTTTCAACACATAAGAGTAGTGTGGCGTTGTATTGTTAAAACCATTTTTTAAATCCTGGCTAACTAATAACATCTATAAAAGTACGATTCACCCCTTAACTGAGTAAAATCTCAAGGTGAAAATCAAAAATGGTTCTTCTGTAAAATAACGAAAAACAAAGATTTCTGTTTTATAGCTGCCCTCTTTGAAATATGTTCAACTTATCGCGTACGCCGGATAATTGCAAATTGAGTGGGGCCGCGGATAAACGATTAGTGTAGGGATAGTACATGTTGTATTATGTTATTATGGTCGGCGAGCAGCAGCCCCACCAGCCAGCGATAGGAATTCACGTGGATCTACTTTCGGATATAAAAACGTTGCGTGCGGCGGTCCGGTAGCTGATTCACATGTACGACGCCGGCGTTTTTGATAACCGCTGGATTAAAAAAAAAAAAGTTTGATTTTGACAAGTGTTTTTTTTTTTTGTGGTTGTTACAAAAAATAACGTGTGCCGTTTGTTTTTTCTGGATACCCGCCGAGATAACCGTTGCTCGATATGCGGACGTTACCGATCGCAGTAAGTGCATACAATTTTAGTATAAGATTTGTTTTATATATTTATGTATTTAGTATCTAAACAAATGTCGATTTGTTTGATACATACACAACTTGTGTTAATCATGAGCTGTACAGCAGAGTTGATAGCCTCACGAAGAAAACTTTAAAGTCCATTAGCCGCAAGTTACCAATAGTGAGATTGGCCCTTACACACCTTAGATCAACTCTAGGAAGCCCAATTTTTTTTTTTTGTATTTGATTAACATGTAAAATTTCAATTTTTCATTAAAAAATTATAACTTGAAAACTAATTAAACATTTTTCAATTTTTAAACAATTTAAAGCTAAAATATGCATCTTGATAATCCTTCTTTTGATATATCGTGTAATATTTTTTATTATTATTATCAAGTTATCAAATTTTTAGTTTGATCAGTTTCCATTTACTGTAAATTAATAAAAACAATTTTTAACATAAACTATCAAGAGAGTGATTTTGAAGTGACATTTATCTTTTTAGATTTTAAATATTTTGATCAGTTTTCCAGTTAGATTTTAGTTCCAGTTTATTTTTAATTAAAAAAAGAATTTCCCATGCTAATCAAATGCTCTATACAAATCACAAGGAAGAACATAGAGTTAAGCTAGGGATCTGAAGTTAAGAGATTTATTATTAGAATAGGCTAGGAGGAAGGGTAAGTAAAAAAAATTCTTTTGACACATTTTAATATATTTGTAGGATTTAAACAAACAAACACGGAATAAGACTATGTCAATAACCGTTATTATTGAGTTATTCTATCGGTAAAGTCCGAAATTCTAACGAGAATTATATATATACAATATGTATATATATATATATATATATAATCAGGAAGTATGAGGTTATTTTATTTTATCTTCAACATCTGCATTATAACAAGAAAAAAAAATAAGAAATATTATCAAACTTCTAAATCCGTGTGCACGTGAAAAGGAAAAGTTACTGAAAATTTTTTTAAAAAAAAGATATGTTTATTAAAAAAACGTACCCAACTTAAGTGTAGGCATTTCTAAAAATATTGAAGTTTAAAATTGTAGAATTATTCAATTATACAAACTATAATAAGCCTTTAAAAATGCTTTTGTTTTACCCGAACAGATAAATGTTTGTAAATTAAATAATAATTAGAGAATGAACAGAATTATTAATTATTTCCAGTTCAAACTATTATCAGAGAACCTTGCGTCAGCGGTTCATCGTCTAATTTATAACAAGTATAAGTTAGTAAAATATATACATATATATCAGAAGTTTAATTAGTTGCAAAATTATTGTGTGTCTATACACTACTAAACCGAGCAAAGTTGCTAAGCTTATTGGACTCCCACTACAACATTACTATGTTGATTATTGATAGTTTAAGTCTTTAAGATGAACTAGTGTTTGTTCCTACAGTTTTCCTCTATCCGTTTAATAATTTCTAGATAAAACTTGATCTTTGAAATGTAAAAACACTTTTCTCTTGTTCTAGACCGTTATAAACGTAAAACCGCGGAATGTATAATTTAATTATAAGTACAATTTCTCGTGTACTTAACGATATTGTATACTTCAACTTGAAAAAGAAACCACGGCCACATAACGTATTATTTAAATTAATCTCTTTACATACAAAATAGGCTATTGTGTGTGCCCATAAAACAATTTATCGTTTTAATAATAATATCCACGATAGTACCTAATGGTAGTAAAAATTCATCTAATGGATTTTAAGGGTTAATCCGGTGGAAACGGAATTTTAATCCATACAGTATAATTATATTATGCACTCTAGAGGTGCTAATAGTGTGTCATCCGGTAAATCCTAAAATTAATATGGTTGTAGCATTACAATTATTGATATTTTTCAAATGTACAAGACTAAATTACTAGTAAAACAAGTTTTCAAAGTCAAATATCATTATAAATCCAGTTTTTTTTTAATAATAATACTTTAAGACCCAAGATAAAAACTATTTCTTATTGTTTCAAATAACGTTGGTATTTTCATTTGTTTTTTTTTTTTAAAACGTTCAAATTATTTATTGAAGTTGGAGGAAATAATATTTGGCTTATTAAAATAATCCCTTAAATGTTTTTCATTCATACGCAGATTAAAATATTATATATTTAATTTAATGATTTATGTTATTCGTTTCAAAAGGTTGCGCAGTTGTCGTCGCGTTTGGCTCAAATGGCCTACATCTTTTTTTTCTTAGTATCTTCTGAAATTATATCACACCACAAAACGACAGTCTGGGGCATGTTACTTTTGTAGTGTTATGAAATCACTTTAGGTATTCGTTACATCACTATCGCAGTACCCTTTTTGTTATTTAAATATAATTGCAACAAAATTGCTTTGGCATTACTTTTTATAGGAATTCAAATTCGTATCGATTTCATTGGAAAGGTTATGGCTTGATAACATTTTAATGGTAATATAAGCTAAGTAGTTAATACAAAATAATCATAACCGATGCTTTTGACAATTTATACGATAAATTGAAAACAAACTTTATTGTTTTTTACTTAGTCTCAGTTTTAAAAATAGTTACAGCAGTTTTATTACAATAATATGCACTCACGTCATTCATTCTAATACATTTGATACATATTTAATATATCCAATGTGTGTTTTTTTAACAAAAGGGCTGACATAATGTAGAGCTTCTCAGGTTTAAAATTTTGTTTACTGTAGTTGTTGTATTCAAAAACCATAATTTAAAAAAAACACTTGCAACAACAATTTCTCAAAGCGCTATTATAATAATAATATGGCTGTAATAACCAATAATTCGGTGTATTGAGAAATGAAAGGTATCATAGTAGACTTTTTTATATTATTGTTTTTCATACTTTAAAAATTATTATTTAGCCCAATTTGTATATATATAAAATTAAGAAGTTTAGGCTGGGAGTAGGAAGTACGCTTGAGTAATGCGTGCAGATAATTTTTAACTTTAATACCATTAAAATTTAAAAGTAATTATTGAAAACTGGTTATCGACCAAATTTTCAGAAAATGATTCTTAATTTAAATAGTAAAGATAATATGATTATGTACGTTACCATTTACACATATAGTCTAATGGGTTTAAAACATAACCTGTAGATCAAAAATACTCATTAATCGAAACACACATAGACGACCAACAAAACACAATCCTGTAAGCTTTTGATAGGAAGTTGTCTGTTTATAAATGAAGAGTACAGGGAAAAAGCCAGAAAAGTAATTTTTTAAAAATGGCAATTTTTGTTATAAAATTCGTTTTGATACAAAACGAATCTGTTCTTTACTTTTACTGTACTTTACTAAAAGTGACTTTTCTGGTTTTTTCCCTGTACCCTTCAAATGTACATTGTTCGCCTCTTTCTTTTGAAAATAGCTGAATAAATATTTAAGACACGAGGCTTAATATCAGAATACGATAATTCACAATATCAATTGGTAAAGTAACGGCAATTATTACACGTACAAAATATAAATAATGTATAACATACTTTTGTAGTATTTTCACATATCCACATATCTTTGAACAACAACCGGTATGGTGTACTCTGTAAATTAACAATAATCTCAAAAATATAACATGTTTTTACAAACCGCGTTTGAGTTTAATCGAAATGTTTACCGTCGTCAATGGCCGAGAGAAGAAATTCACCGGCAAAGATGATATTTGTATTTTTGCTTCTTCTGTTCCATTAGATATTGAATCGGGCCGACGTTAACCGACCGCCTTGTGTTATGGCTGTTGTACAGCTTTGGATGTAATCGAAAACTCGAGCATGGGTTTTAATCAATTTGCACGTAATCGTTTGGTCACTTCGACGATTACACGGTGTGACGATGCGTTACATCTTAATAACACGGTCCGGCCAATATTAATGTGTGTACTATCCAAAAACACCGTGTCTGTGTACAGCTTCGGGAAGACCATCGAACACACGTTAGCCCCCGGGGGCACGCAGGTGGTTTCGCATCCTTTTGGTATAGCCGGAAATTCCCATTCTAGAACTAAACGGAAACGACCACAGACACGCACACTTTCGCCACGACGATAATAATATTATTATGTACTCTCGATGATACTATTATATCCTATATAATGTTTATACGTGTATATATATACCTATATTATAACTTAAGCGAGCCCGTGCTGCCGCAATACTGGAAACCTTTCACCGATATGACCTACCGGCGGCGGCGGGCACCATGGCGTTACGCCGACGAAAGATAATATTATAACAACAAAAATAAACAGTTGGCTTTTTTCTTTTTTTTTTTTTAACCGACCGAAAGTGTTGTTTCCTCTTCGTACTTACGCCCGCGCAATTATATATGCATAATACTTATGATTCATACAGCTTGTGAGCCACTGCATCCCGAGCAGTGCATACCTACCAGAATATAACACTGTATGTAGGTATTGTTATTTGTAACACAAGACCGCCTCGGGGCTGTGGTTTGCGCGATTTTCTCTTATTATTATACGGACCGCTCGTGATCGTTTCGGACACAAAACAAATACACACACACACACGTTATTGTTAAGCCTTGTTCCGATTTACATAACATGTATACTATATGTGTATTGTGTTGTTTTATTGCAGATCTGCTGTTTGCTGGCCGTAGCAGTGTCGTTCGACACCGCCGACGCCACGTTCTTCGGAAAGGAACAGTGAGTTTTGACCGACGTCGTGCCGTGTAAATCAAAACACAACGGCTGATATTATATTTTATAATATTATTATTTATATTACATTACTGTATCCGTCATTACGCGAAAGTAGCGCCCAAGTCGTGTCCGGCGAACGATAACAATAATCAAGTATAACGCCGGGCAACAATTTCTAACATATTTTTATACTTCGTTACTATTTTATCCGTTTGACAGCACACGTTTTCTGTAATTCGCCTTTGCTATGAAACGATGAAACTTATACGGTAACCGACCTACAAGGTGATTCACCAACAACCTATTAAACTTTTTAAAAATTATTTTTTAACATTTAATAGTTAGCCAACATTGCAATTATTTTAAGAGCAAATGTTTGTCTTGTCTCCTTAATGAATCACCCTGTTTTTATACATATCTAATGATTACACGGTGTTACGAGCAAAGTTTAATACACCCGTGTGTATTAGTATTAGTTGGCTTGTGAAACGCATTTTTTTATTTTTTTTGGTGGTACTTATATAAATTTAAAATTTCCCTATCGGCTGTGCTTAGCTGCAGGGGGTCTTCGAAATTTCGTCAGGTAACACCGAATTCTGTGTTGTGTATTAAACCGGGACTAATAATTGTGAAATGTTAATAGTATTACGGAACGGATATAATACGTTAAATAGCAGATAAGTCATAACTAGAGCAGTTTATTTTTATTTTTATATATATATATATATATAGCCCGGTTCGACCCAGACAGAGAAATTAACCGTGAAAAAAAAATCCGGACAGTTTGACTACATCGGACTAATATTATTAATCGAACATGATACTTTTGCCATAATATTAATATCGAGAAAATTAAAATTAAAATAACTTGCTTTTCTATGATGAATATTAATTTCACTTTCGTTGGCCCATAACAACGTTCAATTAATTAAACTATTGTTGTGCTTCGTGTTAATAACGGCTAATTAACGTCAACTGTTTACACTTCACACAGTGCGCGTATTGTTATAATAAATTATTGTTTAGGAGGTTTTAAATAAATAAACAATTTATTTAATGAGATATTCATGACATTCTGTATTCATAATTGGTGAGTGATTTAATTAAATGTTGTTTAAAATTTATAGTGTACACATTCGAGTACATGTGCCGACTATTGTGAAGCCTGTTTACGTGAAGAAACCGGTGCACCATTATGAACATCACGACGATCATCACGACAGCCCTCCTATAAAAAGTTACGGAAGTCCTTCCGGCATTAGTAGCTACAGTAGCGGAAGTGACGACTCATACGGAGGAGGTAAAAAAAAACCGAAGATTAAAATATATCAGTCGTTTTGCGAAATACAGTGTATAGAATACACTCTAAGGACAACTTTTTGACCCAAAAATAGTGATAATGTGACTCATAGCTGTTTGCCATAGATACAAATGTACCACTATCGGTGGAATGATCTATATCTTAATAAATGAGTCTTCTTTTTACACCACCAAGTGTTTAAATTCTATACTGGTTTCAGGTCACGGAAGCTCAGGGGCTTATGACTCAGGATCTAGCGGACCCAGTGGAGATAGTTATGCAGATGCACCGTCTGGCAGTTACGGAGGATCGTCCTCGTCGGATGAGCACGGCCCGAGCAGTGGTTATAATTCTCCTGGCGGTTTCGGTGGTTCGTCCGGAAGCTATGGAGGCCACGACGTAAGCTCATCTGGAGGCCCATCTTCTTCTGGTGGTTACGGAGGTTCTTCAGGAGATCACGGTGGATCTTCCGGTAGCTACGGTGATTTTTCAAGCGATTTCGGAAGTTCTTTCGGTGACTTCTCGGGAGGTCACGGTGGATCTTCCGGAAGTTACGGTGGTTCATCCGGCGGATATGGAAGTTCTTCCGGAGGTCATGGTAGCTCGTCGGGCGGATATGGAAGTTCTTCTGGAGGTCATGGTAGCTCATTGGGCGGGTATGGAAGTTCTTCCGGAGGACATGGAGGCTCGTCGGGCGGATACGGAAGTTCTTCCGGAGGTTTTGGTGGTTCATCCGGCGCATACGGAAGTTCTTTCGGAGGACATGGTGGCTCGTCGGGCGGATACGGAAGCTCTTCCGGAGGCTTTGGTGATTCATCAAGTGGATATGGAAGTTCTTCCGGAGGACATGGTGGCTCGTCGGGCGGATACGGAAGTTCTTCTGGAGGTTATGGTGGTTCGTCTGGTGGTTTTAAACCTTCGTCCAGTGGATATTCGACCAGTGGTACTCTATACAGTGGATTCTCTGCCAGTAATCTTAAAGGTGCGTCCGGCGGTCATGGCGGTAGCTTATCCGGAGGACTAGGAAGCTACTCCAGTGGAAGTCATGGTTCCAGTTCGGGAGGTTCAGGAGGTTATTCGGGAGATTCCAGCTTTGGAGGTCTAGGTGGATACACGAGCAGCGCCGGTGGACATGGTTCCGGAGGGTTCGGAGGCCTTGGTGGATACTCCGGTGGATCTAGCTTAGGAAGCTCATCTGGTGGATATGGAGATAGTTTATCTGGTGGTGGTCACGGCTCTAGCTCTGGTGAACTCGGTGGATTTTCCGGAGGTGCAGACAGCTACTCAGCCCCGGGACTTGACAGTTATGGACCGGCAGGAGAAAGCTTCCCATACTCTAAGAAATAAGCCATTGTAAAGAACGCAAATAATGTGTATTTAGGTTATTTTGTTTTTTTAATTTTAACTTACTTTTACCATGTTTTGTTTTATACATCGTATCTATTGACTCAAAAATTATTTGGAAACATTTTAGTGTTTCCAGATTTTAAGACTGACTATTATTTGATATGTTTTATGTTTTGTTATTAAATAAAAATAAACATACTAAAATGGATACTTAAATGGTTTTAAATTATTGTAAGTGAATTGTAAGTGCCAGTTGGCTGGCAAGCTTGGTGTACGTTTAAAAAGTAGACAATATTCTTTAGTATTTTAAATAATTTTAAATGTTAATTTTTTTTATATTTTAAGTGTTCTAATTCCAATGTGAATTTATAAAACTGAAATAGAATGTACGCTTAATATTGTACATACCTACTATTTTTAGCAAGGAAACATGCTTTAGCCTTGGCCCTGCATCCCAAAAAAAGACACTAAATTGCGATATTAAAGTATAGTAACATATGAGATGCCATCGAAATAATAACGAGTCGTTGTCGTCATGCATAACTGTGGCCAAAACATATAATTAAGACTATACAGTTATCAAAAATCGCAAAGAGGTTATAGATCTGAAATAATCACTATTCAGGAGTTAGCAGGCTAAATCATGTTCTATGTTTTATCATTTTAAAACGTTAGGCTTTAAGTAGACTGCAACTTTTTAATCTTTTTTATATTATAAAAAGGATTCTTAAACTCAAAAAATGGCCTGCTCAAAGAAAACTCATTTACATAAAAATAACCAATTTAAAATGAAAACAGATATTATGTAAATAAATTCCAATCTAGTTTAAACAGACATTTCACACATAAAAATAATGTCTTGTTAAAATAATGTATAAATGAGAAGAAAATTTAAATATAAAATATTCAAATAAATATGTAAGTACACTTATTCCAATATTATTTAAAAACATATATTAGGGACTTCGTTATTATTTGCAAATTTTCAGTGATAGACCAAAATTTATAATTTCATTTTTTTTTTTACTAGTTCGTACGATTTTTTTTTTAGAACAATACTCAAAATATATGTCCTTTGAATTATTAAATAAAATTTAATATAATTATGTGTAATTGAATCTTCAAACTGCAGGAAGTAGAAAAGTATATTTTTACAAGTTAGTCATTATAAAAAAAACAATTGAATAAAGATCATGGAGTATAAAGATAAAAAATAAAAATCTAATAATATTTTGAATGAACCTTGTAAAAATATTACTATTATGACAATGAAAACAATATTAAGCGTGTTTTAAATCACAATAACAATGGTATTCCGACGGCAGATTCTATTATTTATATAGTAAACAATGGTCTATTTTAATAAAATATATGTAAATTATAATACTTATAATTTGTATTATTGATATTATTACCGTCTACTGTATTTTTTAAATATCTATATAAATAATTTGTAAATATTAACTACATCTTCATATTTTTCAGGCCTATATCTACGTTATAATAAGTCCATTTTTTTTTTTTTTTGAGAATTCGAATTATAAATAAGTAATAGATTCTTAATATCTTTCTACACACGACGTGTACGAATATTTAAATTTTAAAACCAAACATTTTTCCCTTCGTTAGAGACTATTAAATGGATGGTTTTAGTGTTTTTCCTTTTTTTAAATGTTTTGTCTGTCAAACTATTATAGAAAAGACATTAGCTAAACACCATGTCGTCGATATTTTCTAGGTATTATATTTAAATATTTTCCGCTCAAAAAACCACTGTCATGATTTATTTTAATTTTTCCAAGCAACAAAAGTAATTAATTAAAACTATGATGATAATATAAACCGTCGCCAGAATATATAAACACTTTTAATAGTTACATTACATATTATTATGCAATCCATTTGCATATAAATCTACATATGCAGTTTTGTATTGCATGAAAAGTGTGCATTTAACACTTCCGTTTATTGCAGTGGGTCATATCCGGTTACTTTTAAAACAGCGTGTAATCGCATCGTTAAACACAACATTTAAATAATAAAATATTTACTATTCATTCATCTTCGGTCTATTGTAATAATTTGCAATTATACGGCGAATTATTAATTATTATTCATTGCGAATAATGTGTAAAATATTTGAAAGTTTTATAAACATAACAATAATACATTTTGTATAGATTGACAATTTATTAAAAATATACTACAGTTCTAAAAGGCGTCGTATACGCGCAAATATACACGAGCGTACGAGAGTTTGCCTACCCACAAACGCCTTGTTTTTAAACGTCAAAATTATAATAATATGTTTTGTTATATCAGCAATAAAACTTTTTCTATGCAATTCCTGACATGTTTTATATATGCAACACAAAATACTCGGAAATGAGGTAGGTTGCAACTACGTTCTGCGAATTTTCCATTTTGATAAGTAAACGCCAAACAGTTTATTGGATTCTGAAAAATGTGTTGTACATTAAACGTGCACAATATCTTAAAAATATTGAATAAAAATCCAAAGGAAAATTTACTAAAATTTGCATTTCATGTAGTTCATAAAATTAAATTAAAATATGCTGTTACTAGAATTTATATTTGGTAAATGCTTAACGTTTACCGTCGAGTATACAATAATACTCAATGCTTTTATCTATTAATTACGGTGTAGTATATGGTTTCGCATCGACCAAGTCAGTCTCGAGTAATTATTAAAATCGTCGCTGGTTTACAGGAATTATTATAGCTGAAAGTGATAAAATCACTTTTAAATAAACGCTTCGGTACTAATCTATGGATAGAAGGATTAAACCAGTACAGTCCAAACCAAGCACAGTGTCAACCATTTAAATAATAAAGTTGTATATAGTAAGTGAGTAGTAGTAGTAGTAGTAGTAGTAGTAAGTGAGTAAGTAAGGCAGGTCTAGGTGTTCACAAATGTCGATAAAAACATTGTACTTAATAACAATTATGTGCTTCAAAATTAATGTTTAGTATTTAGAGTGGATGCGATAGGGGTGATCGTCTGTCTATAATAATTTTAAATGGTTCCACTCATTGAGGGGGGGGGTGGATGTTTATTTTTGTATTGTTTTGGTTTGTGAACGTTTATAGATAGTACTTTATCATAAGTATAATCCATACATATATATATATATATATATTACAGTAATTCGGCTATTTTTCAAAAATCTATATCACGCTCTAATTTTAAGTTACATTCTGTGGGTGTTCTTTTGGGTTTTGAAAGGAAAAGTATGAAGTTTTTGGCCAAATAAAATACACTTCATGATACTTTTTCTGGAGTGTTCTCCAAATTTGTTTAATAATGTTATTCAGTGGGCATCAGCCCTACTCTCCCCTACTTATAGCTCTAATCTCTACTCCTCTAATGTTTACAAAAAAAAAAATAATAATAATAATAACAAAAATAAAATAAAATTCTTTAAAACGACATAATATTATAAAGGTGTCACAACACGGCTGATATGTAATATATATATATATATATATTTTTTTTCTTTCTGTTCAATTAGCCATTGCGGACAACGCGTGAAATTCGTTATTATCGAAATTATTATTTATCACCACTGTCATTATATTATTGTGCATCTGTTACGTTAACGTCTCCCACACATTATTAGCGCAAAAATATCACGGTTTTAGGATTTTTTATTTTTTTTTTTACTTTTTTTAGCTTTCTTATTATTTTCCACACACACACACACGCGCGTGCAATAGTATAATAATAATAATAATCATTCAGGAAATAAATTAAACGTTATGTCAACCGAAGAAACACGCACAAACGTACTACCGCAACTCTAGTGTCTTTTTACCATATTATATAGTAAATACATAATAATAATAATAGTAAATAGCGCCTAATATCATAGAAGGTGTACGTGTCGATATGTATGTATGCAGTATGACGATTGTCGTCGATGTTGTTTTGTTACTCGCAAAGAAAATATCTGATCTACTATCCTTTTTTTTTTTCCATCATATAATTCGTTCTGAATACTACGCGTATAGATCTAGTTGTTGTTTACAATATAATACATAATTTTCGTTCGTAATAATAATACGAGGTGGATTGAAATCGTATTTGTACATCGATCCATATCCTACAATATCTATAATAATATGCTATGGCATCACTGATCTAGGTTAAAACGATGTCGAAATTAATTTTTCTTACCGACAAAAAAAAAGGAAATCCAAAACCCACAATCGTTTGGCGGTGCAAGTAAAAATAAATGTACCGTCTGCAAAATACAGGCTGATTCATTCAATGGCAAGACGCTGGTTTTCTGTTAAAATATTTTTGTAGTTTTTTTTTTTTGCCGACACTTCATTTTGTGTTATTTTACAATAGTCAAATTTTCATAAGTTTTAGAATTTCTTTTTTTTTTACGGCTCTATCGACTTTTAAAACTTAAAAGGTAACCAATTAGGTAAAATATAATAGGAGAAGACCAAAAACAGTGTACAGAGTTGGGCTGACCCGGAGGAAAAACGGATAATTACGGTCAATCCTCGAAAAGAAAAATATATATACATAATAAATGCTTTAGTGACGTTATACATCACTATCGTTAGGTGATTACTGGAATTTGGTTGTATTTTATGCAAATTTGCCTAATTAAAAATTTAAAGTGTGAGCAAAAGCGATTTGCTAGAATAGTACGAGCTGGGAATGGCACGTCTCCGAGTCTATCTTAAATCATTAGGGTTTGAACACCTTGGAACAACGCCGTCGGTATTTGGACTTATTAGTAAGCTACTAAGAGGCGATGAGAGAGTTAATTGGAGATACCTGTATTTTGTTTTGATAATAATTTTCAGAATAACACGAGAAAAATATTACTTATTCTGACCAGAGTAATGCTATCTTTCATACTTTTCAAAAATCATTTAAAAAATTTCCAACGCTGATTCTAACCTCTCTTATATAAAATTATTCCAGTCATCTTGAACTTAAACCATTCGTTTGTTCCGTCATGCTGATTTTAATGTTTCACCACACAAATTACGTCTTGTAAGATATATTATTTAGACAAACTAGCTAACATATTTACCAACATAATACTAACATATTTAGACTAACTAACTAAAATTATTGACCCGTGTAGTATATGAAATAATTATATCAACCGAATTTGTGTTTGAACGAAATCCATGCCCGACTGATTTAATTCCGGTAAATAGCACACTTT